TACAAAGAAAGTATTATCTCCTAGTGCACAGGGAGAAAATAACAACATCCTGGAGTTCTACAAAGAATAACCTTTTGTTGATAAAAGATGGCAAATGTTTGAACGTTCACGGGTGTGCATATCACAACTCAAAGAGGATATGCATGCATGATTCAAACACACATATTTATCTGAAGTACTAATGCTTTCTATTAGCCTTCAAAGGCAGACTTACGTGTGCCCACAAATGGCAACCCAGCAGGCAGTGACATCAGTCCTAGAAATGATGTGGCCTGTATAGTGTGCAGTGAAATGCAGTGCTCTACTTGTTTGCAATGGTTTTATTTTTCGACTAGTTTTTATCACACTTGGCATGAACAAGGGAACATGTGCTTTGCTAAATTTGAACTTTTAAGATGAAACTGAATTAACTGAGAACCAAAAAATTGCTTCTGAATTTTCCTAAGATTGAAAAATGCCTTCCCTCTCATACTAGGAATGGCAAAATAAATGACAAATACATCTTGAAAGTTTAAATGTGAGCTAGGAAGACCCTGTGGTTTGAGAACAACATTGTTGGCTTTTTTCTTTTTTTAGACACCTGAAATAAGACTGTAATGTAAAGGCTTTTTTCCACACAGTACCTTTTTGCTAACATGAAGACATGTATGAAATCTAAAGCTAAAGAAACCTAATATAAGCACTTAACCTAATATAAGCACGATTTGCTTTCTTTGTCAACCAAAAAGTTTAATTAATTTGCCATTTCTTAAAACTTAGTAACCATCAAAATATAGAGTCAACTCTTGCTCCAAAATTTAAACTTATATTCTTTCTTTTTTCTGCTAGTGTTGGAACAAAATAACTATATTGACTAAAACAACCAGACACATATCCCTAGAGACACCCTCCCCTCCTAAATTCCCTCTTCCTTCTCATAAAAGGCATGCCAGGGTACCCAAGTATAAATACTTTGTATATAAAATGAGTGCCCTGTCATGCTGATATTTTTAAGGATTTGAATTCAAAATAATTTTAATACACAATTCAAGTTCTAAATTGCAGGATATGTTTATAAGGAATCTAGTGATAAGTAATAGGTCAAACAACCTGTAAGAATCAGCTTATAGTACAAGCCTCATTGCATTAATAATGTCACAGTTAGTATGTTTATTAAATTAAATATTACCAGCAAGGGTCTTCTAAATGCCATGTTCCTAATACCAGATTACATATTTATTTCAGAGTTAGCATAGTAAGAGGGGGAGCTATCACTAGAAGGTCTATTAAGCCATGTGTTTTTTTTTCATTGCTTTAATAGAACTATTCAAATCAAATTTTTCACGCCATGCCTTGAACACCACAGCAAACCATACTGTGGGTGTAAAATACACGCAAGGAAGATATAATCAGCTCAGATGAGACCAGTGACTTGTACACCATCAAGTTTACTTTATTGTGAAAGCAATGGGGTTTTCTTTCAAGTGAATATATTTTTTAATGTGTGTGGCAACCTAACATACAAACTGAGGACGGGAACCAGGAAAACACACAAATCTCAGAGCAACTGAATTAAACCAAATATAACGCAATGCCTAACATTTTGCCTAGTCTTCTCTGAGAGACTCTTATTTTGTTCTGGTAAAAGAAAACCCGACTGTCCAAAAGTAAATCTCGTTGCACTCAGACTATAACTTCAATAAATCACATACATTCAACTTCCTTAAAAAGTATCACTTACTTTTTTAAAAACTGATTTTACTGATATTAGGCTAAAATATTACTCTTTTAAACATCAAAATTAGCCAAGCAATCACCAACATACCAGGGTCAATTAAATATGTTTAAAACTAATCACTACCTTTAAAGTTGCTGACTACTTCATAAGTACATTTGTCTAAAAATAATAATTGTTGCTGTTTCTTTCCCGGGAGTCTACATAGGTTTGTTTCCATACAAGAGCATGGGTTCTACGTTTTTTCCCTCGTCTCATGGCCAAAATGCCTATATGACAAAGTAACTCAAAAACACACACAAAAGGTGCTGCACCAGATAGGACAGGCTGAACATCTTATAAAAATCACTCATGAACACATATGGTTGTCCAAATACCTATGAAGCATTTTAAACTCTGGGAATAGAAACGGTCTCTGTTCAACGAAGCTTTTGTTCCAAACCTGCAGCTTAAGCAGAAAGCAGAGCATCCTTTAAAGCTTCAGTGCTAAAAATATAAATACTCAATATCACCCCCAAAAAAGGTGGGTCACAAAGAGTTGTAGCAGTGATATTTATATGAAAATGTTAACTGCAGGAGATAAGAGGTTCCGAAAGTTATCTATAGACCCTAAATTGCTACAATTTAAAAGCTCCAGTGATGTAAGTCGGTCCTAAAAAGATAGAAACAACCTGATTTTTGAAACAAACTGTTAAGTAAGTTTCTGGTAGTCCGAAACAGAAGTCCACGCCCTAAATCCTATGCCGCTGCCAGGCCTGGCTCTGAAAGAGCAGCGGAGGGAGGCTGCGCGCTTAGGCCAGGGCCCAGGCCGCGGCCCTTCTCAACCGATGCTGCGGTCGGGGCTACTCAGAGAACTGCCTGGACCCGGGCTGAGACCCGCGGCCTGAGTTAGGCCTGGACTTCCAGTCTCGCCCCACAGCCTGCTTCTCGGCCTGGACCTCTGACCTGGATCCCTGACTGGGACAGCCCCGGGCGCCGCTGCCCGCCCGACGGCAAAGCAGGAAAGCCCCGGCCCAGGCCTCAGGAGCCACCCCGCACCCGGGCGAGCTCCCCGGACGCCCGTCCCCGCCGCTCTGGGCTCGGGTGCACCAGGGCCAAGCTGCAACCTCGCCTGCGGGGGCAAGACCAGCCTGCCTCCCACCGCCGCAGCGCGCTTTGTTCCCGCCTCTGTCTACCCCGACAGGCGGCGTCCAACCAGAAGGTTGAGAACCCAGGCCGCAGCATCTCCTGGCCCGAGCAGCACCCGCCGCCGGCACGCTCAGCCCCGAGGGACATTGAAAATTAGTTAAGATGGCGCGGATTGCGAGTGGCGGGAAGGCACGAGCCAGAATACAGTGCTAGCCGCACGCTCGTCGTCTTTCTACCTCTTTTTGAAAATACACTGTTAAAAACTGAGGAAATCTGGGTTTACGGAAAGGAATCGTCGTTCCTCTCAGGCTGTCTCAGGAGAGAAAAGGCAACTCTTAACAGGGGACGCGAACTTTGATTCCCAAAGGGCCTCCCAAATCTAGACTTTGATTTCCTTGGAACAGCAGCAGCCTCTCAGACGCACGGACAGTGTCATTTCACCAGACACCCAAGACTTTTTGGAAGCGAGGAGAAATGATCATGTTTTAAAGGGACAAGAAATCACAATGCCTCCGAGAGGAGCGCGAAGCTGCAAATTTACCTCACGCTGACTCAGTCCACACAGCAGATGGTGGCAGAGCTGCAAGGGAAACGACCTCCCCAATTTTTAAAAAATACTTCCTAATATCAACCAAAGCGCGTCTTTCAGAACAAGGCACTACGTTCCTGTGAAATCTATCCTCGGCTCCTAAGAGCTTCGTTTACGCACATGACACCGGCTCTTTTGCTCAACGGTGATTGTCCAGAGGGCGGCGGGCAGGGCCGGGCAGCGCCGGGTTTCCGGGCTCCTGGGCTCCCGCGCTCCAGCGCTCCCGCGACCCGGCCTGGGCGGAGAGGAGAGGGCGGCCCCCGCGGCCCCGCGGTCTAGAGCCCCGGCACCCCCCTGGCTCCCCGGCCCTGCGCCCCACCGACCGCACGTGCTCCTCCTCCTCGGCAGGAGTGGGCGGCGGGGTCCGAGGAGCGCAGCCGGGGTCGAGTGGGTGATGACACAAATGCACTGCTCCACTTCAGTCGCCACACATGCACCGTGTCTTGTACTTTTGTCCTCTTACTTAGTTCTTAGATGTGAGGAGGGAAAAGAAACACAAAGGAAATTCAGTCCTTGCTTTTCTATGTGGCAGACAAAACTCCACGGAACGCCGTCTAGTGGTGGAATTGTCCAGGGAAGGCAAGTTAGTTTTATCCTCCCACGAATTTTCATTTTAATTAGAAATTTGAGGCCTCTTTACATCCGTCAAACTGCAGAGAGGACACAGGACAATGTCTAGGTAAAGGTAAATTTAGTCCTGTACCTTGAGGCTGGCCCAGACTAAGCAAGAATGTCTAACCATTTTCCGCCTCTTGCCTGGATCACCTTTCTTTGGAGACAAAAGTACAAAAGTCTCTTCTCCACGAGGTAAACAGTTCTGCGGGCTCCACTAAGACGCAGCGCCCTCCAGGTTGGAATTTCGCATTTCTGCATTTGTTCCCCAGGTGTGGATCTGGCCTGGATAGGACTGGCATAAGATTCCACTACAGAAGGGACAGAGCAGTGCCCCTACCCCCACCCCAGATACCTCCCAGAAGCAGTTCTAAGCTCAGTGGTTAAAAAACGGCCCTTTCGCGAGTTTGTTCTACGGGTCTTTCGCCACCCTACCCCTGCCCAATCTTCGGAAACCATCCACTCGAGAAACGTAGGCTGTTCTGTGTCTGCGTTTACAGATTCGCCACTCACCTCCAAGGCCTCGTATGTACAACCAGAATTTACTAAATCTGCGGTCAACATCCTATTCTGACATGCATTTAAATTACACCCTACTTTCAGCCAACGCCTCCCGCCTTACTCTGTGAAATTTAAAGAAATTCTTAACTCCTTATTTAAAGAACCTCCTTTTCCTGTTCGCATTACTTCCAACTTCAGAGAGAATCAGATAAATATGATGAGAAAAGTGCATATGTTTTCCTGAAAAAAGAAAATGAGCACAGAAAAGTGAAATTTGGCTCATAGGTAGCCAAATAATTATAAATAAGAAGAAAAGAGTAGTTCCTGGAAGTACTATAAAACAAATTTAAGGGGGGAATGGGAGGTGGCTTCCATTACACAGGCTGCCCATATTGGAGTGGGGACGGGCTAGTCTTCCTTAACCCTTAAATATCATCACCTATAATAATTAAATTATTTTCAAACTGTAAACTGCTTTCAAACACCATAGTTAGTGTTTTTACCAGGTTTATTTTACTTGTTATACACAGACGATACAAACGAGCAAAAAACAAAACGTTTCTCAATGGAGTGTGTTCTTGTATAAATTATTCAGTTCACAGACAAAACGAAACAAATATAAAAATCACAACATTAGATTTACAGAAGAGCCAAAATATACACACGTTTAGACCCTGAATTCCTATTAGGAAAAAATCCCCCCATGGACTGGAATCTAGATTGAATATTGTGTATGATGCATATTTCACATTAATTTTTAAATACAAAAAAGTATAGGTTTGCTACACAACATTAGAAATCCTACTAATCTATTTCCAGGGGGATTAATGCTCCTTATCAAATATAACAAGACTTAGGGGAAGATCAGTCTTACTTGCATTAATGCTAGTGTTCGCCCAAGGAAGTCAAATTTCAGCTGTTTCTAGGTGGTGGGGAAGTCATTTTCAAAACTAAAATGCAGTAAAATATACAACTCACACAATTCATCTTCACTAGACTACACTATAGTTACCAACAATTCAGTCATCTATATCATTAATAGAGTATTCATTACAAAGATTTACAGCATATAAAGGTGGAGGGGGTACTGAAAGATATTCAGAAACAGTTTGTCAGCATATTTGGCACCTGCACAGACCAGTAATGGATTTGGCACTTTGGGGAAAAACAAATAAGGCAAAATAATATTGCTGATGTCGAGCTATTCTATTTAGAAGGAAGGGGGGGAACATACAACTCCAGTTGACTTTGCTTTGCAGGCATCATGCCACTTAATCGACTTGCCTATGAACAGACACCTATCCTTTAAAGGTGTTTGGGTGGATTCTCCTTAGCTATTTGTGTGCATTAGGGCACATAGTAATTATTTCATGCAACGGATTGAGGAGAAGTGGGAAACCCATCACTGTTGAGTATTTCATGTTTCTAGAGCCTCTCAGAATATTATCTCACAAGAAAATTAAAAGAGAGAGAGAAGAGAAAGTATGAGAGAGGAGAGAAAGAAAAGCAAAGAAAGAAAAGGAAATAAAGGTTAAGCATGAACTGGTTTTGTGCCTTGACGAGAATAAAAACTAGCCATTCGTTACAATAAATTAACACTATGTACAATCATTTCACAGGCTTTGTTCCACTAAAATTATTAACATCCCTACCATCCATCCATCCATCCATCCACTCGGGGATAAGAAAGGACGCGCTGGGTGGGTCCAGGTTCTAGAGTCAACATCCTATGGTTAATGTGGAGGCCGAGACTTGGCGGGTCGGAATCGCTGCTGCCTGACAGGACTGCCCAGGTCTCCTAAAGGTGAAGAGTTTCATTACAAGAAAGAGAAGTAGGAGGTAAGAGAAAGACGAGGGGGAAGAGGATTGTAGGAGGATAACTCCACAGAAGGAGAGTAAGTAGGAAAACCAAAAGGTTTACAGCAAAGTTGAAGGTCGGTGCGCTAATTGCAGAGACTGCTGTGCAAAAAAAGGTTAAAATCACGCTCGGAGACCTGCACTTATTCGCTGCAGACGGCCATCGAGGGTCAAATAAAATGAGGGGGTGCGCAAGGAGGAGTATGGGGTGGCGGAGCTGGGGAAGAGCTGTGAGGGGCTGGCTGGGGGTCCGGGCCGCGGCGGGGCCGGGGCGGGCAGGGACGGCCTAGCTGTGCGAGTAGAAGCCATAGTAGCCGCTAATGTCCTTGGCGCAGTTCTTCTCGCAGTCCCGCTGGGCCAGCACCTCGCTCTTGAGCGGGGACGAGCTCTCGGACACGGGCGTGTCGGCTGGCGAGATCCGCCTCCGCTTGGCCTGCTCGTAAATCCCCGAGTCGCTCGAGTCGATGGACTTGATCGAGGAGGGCGTCTCGATCCAGCTGGAATCGGACAGGTCCTTGGGCTTGGCGTCCTCGGCGGCGCCGGGCGGCAGCGGCGAGCGCTCGGCGGCCAGGCCCTCGGCCTCCTCGCCCAGGTAGGGGTTGGCGCCGGCCATGCGCGCGGCGGCCGCGGCGCTGTTGGGCCAGCAGGGCAGCACGGAGCCCGACTTGGTGCCGCAGTACTGCGGGGGGCTGCGGGCGCCCCAGCCCGACGGGTCGGCGTAGTAGCCAAGCGGGCGGCCAGTGCAGCCTGCAGCCTGCAACGGCAGCGCCTTCACGCCCGCCGCTGCGTAGGAGAGCAGCGTGGCCGCGTTGCCCGCGAAGTCCGTGGCCGTGTCGTAGGCCGAGGCCGCGAAGTCCAGCCGGTTGTTGGCCGGCGTCACAAACCAGCGCTGCGGCGAGGGCGCGCCCGGGTCCTCGGCCTGCTGCGGCGACAGCAGCCCGTTGGTGTGTGGCACGCTGCGGTCCGTACCCGGCCCGGGGCCCGCGCCCGCGCCCGGGTGGAAGCGGGCCTTGGCGTAGTTGCTCACGAACTGGTCCTGCAGGAAAGAGCCGGCCATGGCGTAGCGGGCCCCGGGCACGATCTGCGAGCGCGGCGAGTCGTTGGGCGAGGGGGTCAGGCGGTCCATGTCACAGCCGGTGTAGATCCTGCGGGGTAGGGAGAGAGAGAGAGAGAGAGCCGAGGGGTGGCGCGGAGGTCCCTTGGGGTGGGGGTGGGGGCAGAAGGGAAGGCCACCTCCACTTTTCGCCCACCCCCACACCCTCCATCTACAAACTTGCAGTCCAGAATTTCCTGGAGAATACAAGAGGCCACAGACCTCTATCATTCCCAAAATAAATCATGGTATTATGAAGGAGCCAATCTGTCTATGCAGGGACCTGAGCAAGATGCAGACCATCAAGGGAACGACTTCCCTCTTCTCTTGCTCTCGTCAAGTATACTGGGGTACTGAGAGAGGGGCACAAGCAAGGGCTTTCATCCCACTTCTCCAACATTTGTGTGCACATTAAGGCAGATTTACCTAGGGACTAAGATGCTCTTTGCCCATTGGGCCTTTCCTCTGCAGTCAGAGTTTCTGGGTGAAATTTCTAAACAAGGTACTCACTCCTCCACCCTTTTAAGACCTATGTCCGTTTGATTGTTCAGGTCATTTCTCTCCTTTTTCTAGATTGTTTCAGAAACCCCTAGGGAAAAGCCGCACACGCAGAAATCATCAAAGACTGATCTTCACCCGTGTTCTGGAACTCGAGGTTTGCTGCTGGAAGCCTGCAAGGTACTTAGTGTCTATTGTTTCCCCTGTGTGAAACTTTCACTCCCACGTCTATTAATACAAACAAGAATTACTACTCAGAAACAGTAGTCATCAATCAGAAATATTCTCTTAAAAGAAAAGGTGTTCTTTACTCTGACCTGCTTTTCCTAGCTTTTAGTCCATTACGGCAGAAACTTCGGGGCAAACCTACGGTGCAAACCTACTGTGCACTTACCAGCCTACTCCGTGCAGTGGACCACTAATAATAGCTAACCTTTACGGAGCTTGACTATATGCCAGGCATTGCGAGCTAGGTAACTTTTATTATCCCACTTTACCGATGAGGAAATTGAGGCAAAAGGACGTTAAATAACTTGCCCAACCACCGACAGTGATTGTGTTGTTGGGAATTACCTTAGATAAAATAATCAAAGATTAACTTTAGGCCCTGGGCCTAGAAAATCACATTAGAATTGAGAGGAAAGCAAGGGTTGGATGAAGATTGGTAGAAGTGTTTTCTCATACACATGCACACATGCCTCCCTTTTTATTTAGCTCACACATAAATGTTTTAATCTTTAGTCAACAGACTGTTTTGAAGGAGAACCTCAGTCTTGTCAGACCTTAATCCTTCAGGGAGGAGATTCCCTGGTGAGTGGCCAAGCAAGCTCCTAGTACCCCATGAACCCTTATACTTCTCCCTCTTTCTCCAAAATTGAGCCATGCCCAAGTAACCAATGTAAAAGGGGAAAGGAAGAGTGTCATAAACCAGTCAACTCTTCCCTATCCCCTAAAGATATCAGGTGTTTTTTTGTTTTGTTTCTTTGTTTTGCTTTGTTTTTTTTGTAGAGGTAAAGAAGTTTTTATGAAAAATTTAAATTGATTTAACATCAAAGAGGAGTGGCTTTTCCAACAGAAGGCAGCCAGAGGAGGAGGGGCATGTGAGAGTTTTGCTGTGGCTGCTCAGGTCCATTCTGTTTAGTGCACAAAATTTCCTTCTTGAAATTGAATTCCAGTTTCAAATAAGAGAAGTAGAGGGAGGCAGGAAGGGAACATAACTAGCAAGGTGCAAATATCTTCTCTGTTTATCACCACAATATTTTAAAAAGAAAAAAGCAGTCTGCAAAAGATACAGTTTAGATGCCCATCCAGGTCCCACCCACTTGGGATTGCTGAATTGATTTGTGCAAAATAAAATGCTTTTGAACAGATGTTCACAACAGAATTAAAATCTCAAAATCTACAGGACTCTCCTCCAACATCTCTAGTCTCTTGGGCCACACACTTTCCACTGTGCTGGGCACACCTTTTTAGATTGTGAGGAATAGAGTAGCCAAGTTTTTATTCTGGGGAATCATATTGATGAGACTTGCTTCCTTTGGAGTACTTTTGAAGAATATATATAGTGGTTATAGGCAGTAATATCAATGACTCTCTTTTAAATTATTAGAAAATATCAGGAGGGATAGTTAGTATCCGCTTGGAGATGGAATAGAGGCAGTCACTTGTCCCTTTCTCCACACACATAATCTATGCTAGTCAAAGGCAGCTTCAACTTTTTAGCTCTGTCTCCGGCGCTCAATGTAAGCCATGAAATTAAGATGTATGTACCCTTTCCTTTTATGGTCAGAAAACATGGGGGAACCCCACAATCCAGAGTTAGATTTATAACACTATCTGAACTCTTAGGCACTATGGACCCTGAGTGAGAATTGCAGAACAAGCCCAGAAAGCATTCAGTTTACACCTACTGTTGCCCCCAGAGAACAGCCTTTTGATACAAAAGAGGGAGGTAAAGGAGGCCTAAAGAAAAGGGCACCAGCATGTTTAATTAAAACACACCTAGATACAAAAGAAAGAGGAAAATATTTTTCTTTTGAAGTTTATAAATAATACACAGCAACACCGTCTGAATCTTTCCAAAAGCCTAAAATGACCATAACAGCGGTTCTGCTCACGAACTCGCCTGTGGTGGGTGCACATTTGTATTCAGTCCATGGTAAACTTGCACAGGAAATGCTATTACACAAAACTTGGAAATAGGTAAATAAAAGTCACATAGCTAAGGAGACTGGTAACAACTGCCAGAGGAGCCACATGCACTTTTAGGCAGAATTGCCCGTTTCAGACATAGACAATCTGAGCTGAGCATCTGCAGCGCCACATACAGTACTCGCATCCGGGAACCAGGGCAGCCTCCCCAGCCAGCCAGCCAGCCCCAGAGGCCCGCCAACAACTTTGTAATCCACAGGAAAGCTAAAATTAGGTGGAGGAAACCTCTGACCAAAAACCACACAAGTACCAAGCCACAAGGTCACCAGAGAGAAGGGGAGCCAACAACAACAACGACGACCAAAAAAAAACAAAAAAAACAAAAAAAAAAAAAGAAGAAGAAGGAGAAGAAGAAAGGGAAAACCTCTAAAACAACCTTGTCTTCACACATTCCAGCTTTCAAAATCCTTGTACATAATAATCCACCTTTGACCTAAAGCCCAATTCCACAACTATTTGAAAAGGAAGATACAAAATTACTTACGTGTCATAATTATCCCGAAATCCTTTTGCAAAGGGGTTGTGATCTATTTTCAGTTGTGTAATCTGGCAAAGAAAAAAATGAATGTTATCTCACCTTTTTTACATGAAGACTGGGTGTTTGAGAATATATCATCTGCCACTTTTACAGGGGCTTAAGGCCTACAATTTATTAAATAGCAAGGTTTTCCTAACTGAAAAATTTGAGGGATTGAGTGGAAAGGAAGTATCATGAAAGTTATGAGGAACATGTTTAAATAAACAAGACCTATAACTAAAGGACTGCTTTCAGTTAGCTCTCCTGTTTTTTCTAAATTGATTCAAAATCACATTTTTAAAATGCTTGTTACACACAGTGTACTTATTCAGACAAAAATCTTTAAGGAGAACTTGAATTCATCACTAAATGTTGACTATTTTAAGTATTTTATATTTTAAAACATTTGTCGTTTCTGACTCACAACCTGAGAAACCACAAGTTGCATCTTAAAATCAGGTTGGATTTAAAAACATGTTTTAATTTCTGATATTATCATTTAAGTAAAAAAAAAAAAAAGACAAACACAAAAACCCCTATCACTCCTAGTAGTCAAATCAGCCACAAAATCAGCTTTTGCAAACTTGCAAAATCGGAAGAGGTTCAAGTGCTAGAAAGCTCAATCCATAGCCCTTAGTAATTTGATTTATTGTAGTTTTCACATATATGAATGTGTATGTTCTTTTGATCTCCCAGAACAGTGATGTTTGTTCATTTCAGCCATCAGTTCTGAGATGGAAAAAAAAGAGAGAGAGAGAAATTTTTTTTTAGATGCCAAAGCTTGCCAAGAATAAAATGCACGGGGAAATCTGCTTGTTTTCTAAAGGAAAGAGAGACTTAAAAAAAAAAAAAAAAAGTAGATTTTAATCTGTTCTAGTTCGAATCCCAAATTAAAACTCCCAAAAGAGGAGTCTTTAGAAATCCTGGCCACCTCAAAGGTGGCCCGGGTAACCCGCGACGAAAACAAATAGAAAGCATTTTCCCACCGGCTTGGTGTTTAGGAAAGGTGCCGTGGGCAGGCCCCTAGCCCTAGGCCTTAAAACGCACAGCGGAGCCAGCTGTTGCTGATGTTAGCGCTGCCAGTACCCTAGACCTGCATGGCGGGAGGATGTGAGAGGGTAGGAGAGAGATGTCTGTGCCGCCCGCCTCGCGCCCAGCCCCTAGGTCTCCTTACATCCGTGTTCTGGTAGGCGGTGACGGCGATGAACTGAGTCTCAGGGAAAGTGAATGTCTGCACGCGGCCGGGCTGGCTGGTGTCCTCCGTGCCGTCCTCGTTCACTTCCACCACATGCAGGCGGGGCTGGTACTTGTGCAAGGACTGTAAAACCACCATCTGTCCGGCGGAAAGAAAGGGGAGCGCCGGGTGGCGTGTTAACGCGGTCGCTGTGCGCGTGGCTGTGTGCGCCCCGCTGCGCGCCCGGACTGGCGGAGGCAGCCTGCAGCCAGCCTCCCAGGCTCACTGACCGCGGGACTCGCCTGGCTGGCGGCTGACTGGCTGGGGCAGACCGGCCTTCGCACCTCTGGGAGCGAAGATAAGCCGGGGCACCGGAGAAAAGGGGGAAGGCGACCGCCCGATCCTCAGGGCCCTTCTCCTAGTCCTCCTGTAAGGAGGAACAAAGATTTCCACAACCTGCAGATCTTGTGGGGTTTCTTCTCAAAATCAATCAGTATTAGTACTTGGGAAGGTCGGGCACTCCAAAATTGGGCCGACGGGGGTGTTGTCAATGAGAACAACTTCATAAATTTAACATAAATTTGGAGGGTGGAAATCCAATTTTTAAGTCTTTTTAATGAAGCAAAGAAACGTGTATCCAGTTCCATATACTGCTTTGCACTGACGAACTGGATGTCAGGGAGGAAGGGGTGAGAGAGAACACGAGCGCTTGAGCCACTGACCTGCCCATTGTTATTTGAAGCTCCTTTGTTGTTCGTAAGTTTTAATTTTCCAAAAGAGATTTCTTGGCGCATCCAGTGAGCCCCAGTGTTGGGGGAATCCGGATGCATATAGACCCGATTTCCTAGAGAAAGAAATGCGTTGTTTACATATGCCCCCGGCACTGCCCAGTCCCAGCTCCTCACCACGTAGGACACACACACACACACACACACACACACACACACACACACACCTTACTCCACCGTGAAGCCCATTAGCTGGGGCTTTTTTAGGCCGTTCTTTCTTCCTATTAACTGGGGGTGATTAAAATAGCTTTTGCATAATCCTCCCCCTTCTCGCAGCTCAGTCTGTCCCCCTGTCCCCCTCGTTTCCTTTTAGAAGTCATTGGCCGATCGTTTTAAAAGTCGCTCGAGCCAGTCCACAAAGGCTTTAATTAATCATTCTCACCTAAATAAGTGTCAAGAAAATGTGTTAATTGGAAGGACTTGCCTTGCACATTGGTGTCCGCTTTGCCGCAAGGAACCCATTTGCCTCCTTGAAACCTCCAGTGATTGGGATCCGCCAAAATCACATCCACAAAAATATTGTAATGAGCCGTGGGATCGAGACCAGAAATGTTAAAACTTAAAAAAGGAAACATGCGCCTATTTAAATTAAGGGGTGGGGGGAGAAAACAAGGAAAAAAGAAACATAAATGTTAAAGATTAAATGCAAGAAGCGGGGCGCCAGATAGCAAAGCAAAACTTGTTCTTGCAGCAAATAGGGACGAATATATTTGATGGGTTAGAAAAAGGGTGGTGGGAGAAGAAAAGAAGTGCAACCCAAATCAGGGAGAGCGGCGGGTGAGCTGGAGTGGGAAGGCGGCAGGTATCACTGCCCAGGTGGAGAGAGAGGTTGGCGACCTGCGTCTCCACCTGTCCGTGCATGCCAGTGTTGATGCGTCCCTCCCATCGCCCAGCCGCTGGCCGGGGCTCTTCCTTTTTCTTGCCTTCCTCTGGCCACTGACTGGCTCTCCAACCACGTACCTAGAACGGGGTGCCCCCCACCAACATCCCCGTGGCGGTCATCCCTTCCACTTTCCCCCTTTCCAAAACCAGCCAACTCTAGGGCGCCTTCCACTCCGCTCCCGACCCCAAATCGTCGCTGCCGCGGCAGTCACAACCTAGGTGCACTTGTCCCCGGCTGCGCCTGGAGCAGCGGCAGCCAAAAATGTAGTATTACCTTCCCTGTTTGGTGATGATCATCTCCGTTTGGTGCCGGTGAAATTTCAGCCAAAGAGGCCTGTTGCACAGGTACACCTGTGCTTTGCCGGGCACCAGCCCCGGCTGGGTGGAGGAGAACTGGTAGAACGGAGCTCCTTGGTAGGAGTGGCCGTACTGCTGTGGGTAGGGGTAGCCGGCCGTGGGGTATCCCTGCGGCGAGGAGTTGGACAGGAGGCTGTTGTAGGCTCCGTTGGTGATGACCGGGTGGTGGGCCATGTAGCGGCTGGGGCTGCCGATGGAGAAGGCGGGGTGCGCCGGTCCGTGCTGGCCGGGGTACGGGAACATGGCACTGGGAGCAGTGGCCGCAGACTGTGGCTGGCTGGACTGAGAGAGGAGGTAGCGATCTGCAGCAGAGCCATCGAAACTGTGACGAAGCTCAGAGACCCCGTCCAAGACAGGAGAGAGTTTACTTCTCTGGACGTCCCCTGGTGAGTCCTTGGAGTCAGGAAAATTGTCTGTATCTGACTGATTCGTCATCCCCCTGGTAATTTTTTTCAAAGGTGAACTTCTCTCCAGGTTGTCAGTGGTCGAGATAATGGGATGATCGTGCAAGACAAGCTCGGATCCGCCTGAATGTGGGTAGCTGCTGCTCACATTGAGAAATTTCTTGGAGAGCATGATAGAAGGAGAAAGGCAGTGCTCCAGCTGCATAGCTCTAGAACCTGAACACTCGCCCTCCCGTCCCTGGTTTTTAAAGTCCTATTTATCATAAACTAGAAATCCACAGACCCCCTCACTAGACAGAAAGCACTTCAACCAGCAAATGCTTCTCAAAGGTTTGATTTACTTTTTTTTTCCCTGGGAGAAGAGATTGGCCAATTGACACTATGCAGCAATCAGAAAAGGCTCACTTTTGATCTTGCTGCTTGTGCTGCCGATGAAACGGCTCCTGCCATTGGTTAACTGCTGACAGTAATTTAATTAGATAGACATTAATTAGGATAATCACCTGGCTCCTGGTAGCGACGATCATGGCAAATTGAAGGGGATGATTTTATTGTTGGCTTGGGGGGTGGGGAATGTGTGTTGGTTTACGTGAGCACTGTTGTGTCACCTTTAAGCTTTGTGACCACTGCTTTAGGAAGATTCAAAGATGTGCAATTTACTAAACATTTCCTACCTTCCCCCCCTTCCCCCATTTAGAGCGGAGGGGCGGAGGAGGGAATTCGACGATGCTAGGAGACTTTTCGGATCTGAATGAGCCAAATATTCAGTTGAATGTAACGATTTCAAGTGCAAAGTATACAAAGCGCGAGCCGGTGGCCTCTTCTCGCCCTGTAAAAGTTCCAGAGTCTGTCTTTTCCAGCTAATACAAAAGCACACAACACCTGAGCTGGTGCTTTGTGAGCAGGTCCTACGTGTCCTCGGCGCCCCCACCCCCACCTTTTAAACTGCAAACATAAATAAATAAATCCCTGCTGCTGAGAGCCACAGCGACAAGCAGAAGAGGGGGAGAAGAGGGGGCGAAAAGCAGCAACTCACCCACCAATCCACCCACCTCAGGAAGGTTCGGTTTCTTGTTTGAGCACAGAAACAGTGACAATCTATGATCTCCTTTTTAAGTTTTGAAATAATCATAAGCTGTCGGGCTAAAATGCCTTAATGTATTTGCAGTGATGTTTACCGGGTCTTTACTAAATATTTTATCAGCGAACTTGGTTGCAGATTATCTGAAGAGCATCTAACTGGGGGTAGGCGCCATGCATCCTTCTCGTCCCTCTGCATATCCTTCTCTCTCAGATACTGGCTTGGCGACAGGTTCAAAAGCTTCGCCAGGAAAAGAGAGGGCCGAGTCCCCGTGCAAATGGGCTCGTCAGAAGCGCTGATCTGGGGAGACAGAGTGGAAGTGGTGTCAACACAGTAATCGCTACTGAAAACGTGTGTGTGTGTGTGTGTATGTGTGTGTGTGTGTGTGTGTTTAATGTTTATATAATCTGGAGGGGAGAAAAAGCATCCATGCCAGTAATTTTAAAAGGAAAAAGAATCTAAAGAGGAATAGAAAAAAACCAATTTAAAAGGATGTTGGCACAAATAAATAGCACTAGGCCCAAAGAGACCCCGAGGTGTAGGAAGGAGGTCTCTCAGCATCCGCTCTACAGAGGAGCCCAGCCCTCGGCCTGAGCCAGAGGGCCAACAGCGGCAGAGGCTTTTTATCTGCCCAAAACTGCCTCCCGCGGCCCGGCGCTCGCTGACCTGCCCTCCCGCGGCTTTCGTCCCGGACGCCGAGCCGCGCGGGAATGAGCAGGAGGAGCGCCGCCCGGAGCTCCGCTCGGCCCCGAGAGCTGGCCGGCCCGAGGGCGGGCTCCGCCCGGGGGAGTGAGGGAGCGCGGGTTGAGCTGCGTCTGCTGCAGACCCCAGGGGCACACACTCTTTCCGTGCTGGAGGCGCGGCCTGGGCACCTCAGCCGGGGGAGCTTCTGGCTTCGAGCGAGCGCGTCTGTCCTACCTGTACCTGGGGCAGCTCCCAGAGTGAGAGCAGCGCTTGGGGACATTGGGTGGGGTCCTGAGCATGGGCGGAGACGGGTTAACCAGACTCGCCGCTTCGCCACTGTGGTGCATTTTCAGAGCGGCCCCTCGGTGGGCTGAGCGGTCAGCGCTCAGCCGAGACTGCGCCCCTCGAGGCGGGCTGGGCGCCTTGGCTACAGAGGGCACCAGCTGCGGCCTCCATCAGGGCGCCGCGGGCAAGGCCCTGCGCGGGCGGCCTGGACAGGGCAGGTTGATGACCAGATGTCCCAGACTAAAGCCGAGACAATTTTCTGGGATAAAAAGAGAGCCAGACCCATTTTTCCTTTCGAAAGCAAACCTCAGCTCTTGGTCAGGAAGCTTCATAAACAAGCAGTCTTAGCTGTTGAGTCGTTGGGGTGCGGGGGAGGGGAGTAGGGGATGCCATTTGACACTTGTTTTTCTGCCCTTGACCTTCTACCGCCATTTGCCTCATGAGAGGCTTTTGAACTCTTGACTACTTTTGGCTACTTTCGTTTCCGTCTTTCTCCCATCTTCAACTTCTCTGTCCCTGAGTGCCTCTCCCTCCGTTGCTTCGGAAAACAGTACTTTCCTCCGTTCTCAGTGGGACAGAGCCTTAAGTGTGTAAAGAGGTGAGACATCACCTGGGCTCTTTTTGAGGCTTTGCCATTCTGGACACCCTAAACTGCTTTTTTCTTTTCTTTTTTTTTTAAAAAAAAGGAAGAATGCTAAAATGAAATGTTAAGGTGTTAAAGGATAGAAAAGGGAAAGAGTGCACCTTCTTCAGAGTTTTTAAGGAATTGATGTGCTCTCTGACCCACTTTGGATTATCAGTAACAAATTCAGTGACTGCTCAAATATAGGCTATGCCTTGAATTTATATATACTAAGGAAAATTAAGGCTTTCCTCAGAATCACCACACGTGCCTGTGAACCATACTTCTAAAAGAAGGCCAGGGCTTCTCAAACCTTAAAGTGTGTATGAACCACACCAGAATTCTTGATTATGATTCAATAGGCCTGGGGTGGGGCTTGCTTTCTGTATATATAACAAATTTCCATAAGACCCAGATGCTATTGGTCCAGGCAGATGACACTTTGAATGGTGAGGCCAGAGCTTTCAGTGCCGCCATACTAGTCTGAGAGAAAAGCAGGGACATTTCTGCACTAGAGACAAACAGTTTTGTTTCCAGAGCTGCTTTACCTCTGCATGGTGGAGGGGTAGATATGCTCACATAAGCATGCTTGAATGCGTGCACGTGTGTGCGCACACATAGTCTTAAACAGCTTCCTGAGTTTGTGATTAAACGCATCTTTTCAATGCCTAACTGGGCCTGGGACATCAGGCTGCTGTGAAAATAGCTGTACATTCCAAGACAAATGTGTTCACTGAGCCTCGCCTCTTAGGGCATCTTGATTTTGATCGACTCCAAATCTACAAAAATATAGGTTTTTGCTAGCAAAGATTTTGACAAGGTTCTGAAATTGGGAATGTCACCAACATGAACCAAGTGACAGTAAGTGGTGTGTGGCTATAGGGAGTCCAGGAAGATGGGGTGATCAAATAAGGGCAAAAACAGGCAAGGTAAGCCTTCCCAGTCACAGGATTCAGGATATTTTCAGAGGACTAAGTGGAAAACAAAAACAAAAAACCCTTTCAACCCACATATTGAGAATAGTTCTTGAAATGTTAAGGCCTTCTTCTGAGGGCACTGTGCCCCCCAGAAATCACTGACTAGCACTCATTAACAACATCTGCAAAATAAGTTAGAGAATCTTATTTGTAAAGGGAAAAATCATATCCAAAAAGCCTGCACACAAGTTTGAATTAGGCAAAATAAAACTTCACTAACTTCCACTTACATTTTAATTTTAAATGGTTAAATGTAATCCCAACAACTTTAATACATTTTACATGTCCTACATAAAATATACTGTCACTATATCTGAAACAATAAACCACAGGACAAGCAAGAAATGCTCAGAATACTTCTTATCCACCAAAAAAGATATTGTGAAACATACTGGGAATTTAAGCCATTTCTACTTTCAGTTTCTGGTAACTTCACTAGGCAACCAATAAGAGCCTAGACTTGTTCCAGTAGGACAGTAACTTGATCTATCACAGCACTCATAACAGTTCTAGTAGGTTAAGTTAAATTCCAAGTCCCCATGTAAAACCTTCCTTTAATGAAGCCTTAGTAATACTCTCACCACATTTTCACAAGCAAGGGTGCAGACTAGAATTAGATCTTTGTCTCTCTATCTTTTGCCATACTCCTTGGTATAATCAGTATGGTTCTGAACCGTAAGTAATAACAGGGGCAGTTACTTTTGTACATCACATTAGAAGTTGGTATTAGCCATTTTTTTTCTCTATTAGAAAACTGGGTAGTCCTAATTTAGAAAAGATGAGACCAAACAATGACAAAATTATTGCTTATAAGCTTATATTAACCTCACATTATGACTACTTTTCTCATTTTGCTTTTTAGACATTATATACTTTCTGTGGTTATTTTAGATAAAAGTCCAGTAGAGTCTGCAGTAGCCAGTTCCCAGTTTCAAAACTGTTGGTAGAAATGTACTCTTTTAAAACATGATAAAGTCTAAATTAAAATTGCTCCCTTTTCTTTGTAAATGTACTCCTCCAAAATCCTAAAAGTATATGTTTATAAGAGAGTGAGTATACAATATTTAGCTTATGACAAATGCTAATAAAATATCAACATTTTTTCTGAGTTACTAATTAGGTAGCCACTCATTAATGGAAATCATTATACATTTGTGAAAGTTTGTTATCACACTGATGTTTTATGTGTTATAAGATCTTAAAATGCAAAGGGAAACATATCTTTGTGTGAGATTTCTAGACCACTGTCAAACGTTATTCCATCAGTCCCACCCATTGCCAAAAAGACCTCAGGAAGCATAGACTGTAAATGTATTTTATTTTGTAAGTAACAATCAAAATATATTTGTGCTACTGATTTTTTCAAATATTAAATGGGATCTTAACAAAATTTGTCCACTTTGATGTACTCATGTATAACTTTAGAATCTGCAAAGACCCTGACTAAAGAAACAGAAGTAATTGCACAACTGAGACTGAAGGTGTTACGGTGCTGCAGATGATGCCAGATGTCTTACATTTAGCCAAGTACACCTTCAGAGGTCCCTTGATTTTGAGCATTAGGAACAACAGAGGAATATACACTGAAAGCATCATCAATAGCGTTTTTCGTTGCTTTATTTAAATACGACAGTATCCAACATAGCTGCTAAACACTGGACAATATTTGAGGTCATAAGTACATCCACATGTTCCTCCAAATGACGTTTGGGGTCCTAAAAGAGCAAAAATAAGGAGAGAGAAAACAGAACCATATTATTGGTAGATAAATTACTTAAATTTTTTTCAGTAGCCGATGAAACTGGTAAAGAAAGCCAGACCTAACTTAAATATTTCACAATTTAACTTTACTAGTATATTGTTACATTCTTAGAATTTCTAAATCAATAAGTTAAGTAGCTAATAAAATAATAGATTACACAATGAAAGCTTGATTTACACAATGCAATGACTGTGTACCAGAGATTTTTATAAGGAGTAACAAGGAATTCTATACAGCTTACAATCATCTGATTTTTTTAAAAGTTCATTTACATATGTCTACTACCTGTCTGCATAGATGTGTATATTCTCTACCATTCATATATCTTGAATGTCTGAGGGAATGCTTAATTCAAAGCGGACATACCAATGGGTAAGAGTTCAGTGTGAATTCTCAGCACTTCTTCTATGTTTTATAATAGCAAAAATCAGAATTCTGTACAATCTTAATCTTTTAAGAGTAGTGCTTTAAATGATTCAGAAAATATTCTTGGATCAAAAGTTGCTGTTTGTAGTTGAAGAATTTAAATACAATTTGGATCAATTCTAAAATGTTAAGAATGTTTCATGTAGCTATTCTGAAAAAATGTATCATCGAAAATTATATAGGTACAATCCTTTAACTTAAACCCGATCATATCTATTTTTGAAATAGACTGAGTTAAAAAGGAGGCTTAAAATTGTATTGTAATAAAGGAATTTAAATTAAAATGCTTAGTATGTATTTATGTTTTAGGTGGGATTAAGTATTTGAGCAAAATTTGAAAGTTTTGAAATAAGGAATATACATTATACACAATAGAAAAATTACAATTTAAAGGATTATATTCTTATGGTTATTGTTAAAATACCCAAGACTCCTAACTTTAAACAAATGCTCATTATTGGAATTATTTCTTGGCCGTGCTTTTCTAACCCTTATTTTAATACACTGTCTTTTTAAAACAACCCAGAGATACAACATGTTACAAATAATTTCAAGTGACTAGACTACAATATATTTTTTATTTCAGAAATAAGTCTCAGGGCATTTTAGGTGAAAAAGACTGAGAAACACTGGCAGGAGAAAAAAAGATATTGGTTTAATTCCATTATAGACAGTTTTGCTTTTGCCACGCAGTAGGCCAAACCAGTGAGGTAATAACTATATTTTTAAAAATGACTCTGATGATTATTAAACTTTGCCAATTACATATTTTTCAGTTTCATTTTTTATTTAGACCTTTTATTTGCTGCTTTAAATCTGTATCAAGAAATATGGCCTCGGAAAGACATTTATTCAAAAAACAGTTACTGAATCCCATAAAGTATAAGGCTCCAAGTTGGTGATCTAGTATTATGATTAAAATAAGTAGTGGAAAGATAACAAGGGTGATATCACATAAGATGAGAAAACAAAATGAACTGTATTTCATTTTGCTTTTTGTGGGTATTTGTTTTTAAATTATAATACTCAGAAGGTAGTGAAATTTGATTTTCTCATTTATGACATATGATAAAGTCAGACCTTTGCCCCTACTGCTCTGTTGGAGTAATTCATTTTATAGTGAATTGGTAACATGCTTCCCTCAGTTATCTACATTACTTCTTGTGGCAGCTGGGTGATTCTTAGAGATTTCCCATCCAAGAATGGTCCTGGCCCAAACCTACATAGCTTGTGAGATGTGATGGGATCAGAGCATATGGTAGGATGGCTGAAAGCAAAGACAGCTTAGTGTCTTGCATCTGAAATATCAAGATTCTGCCAACATCAGCAATATGATAACCATGTTCCATGAAATGGGGAAAAAATATAATCGACATTCTTTAAAAAACAGTCTAATTAATCTGTAGATTCCTTTAATTGGTTGGTATCTTCCCCCACCCTCAGATAATAGAGACTAAAATATATATTTCATCTTAGAAAAGTGAAAGAGCAAATACTTAAAGCCCTTTCTCTTCACTCAGTGTAACCCAATAAGGCTCTAACCTTTCTCAGGAATATTACCTATATATTGATAAAGTACATAATTAACAAAACTTGTTACATATGAAATAAATCTACCCTTCTATTATCTTTTCTATTATCTTATTTATCTGTAGATTAAAATAATACTTAAAAAATTAATTCAGAACACAAGTGTCCTAATTTGTTCCTGGTTAATTATTTTCACTGAAGATAGTATCTCATAGGTATTTGTGATTTACTTCTCTATAGAGAACCTGACATCAAATAAATTTAGTGACCTTTACAATTAGTATCACATTTACATGACAGAAGAAAAATGCAGAGTGGACAGGAAAAAAATTATATAGGCCGTAAAACAGTTTTAACTCTATAAGAACATGCTATTATGCAACTGCATAACTTATTAACAGTATACCTCACCTGCTTGCCAACATTCTTTATTGCCAGCTGTTCAGGTGTCATCTTATCTTCTTCTTCTACAGCCTGTGAATGAAACACAAAGGACAGAGTTTAAAATTATAAATTCTCTATTCCCACTGCAGGATAATCACCAAAAATAATGATGACCAGAATTTTCATTCATAGAACTTTTATTCAAAGAATCTACTGAATAAAATTATGCTAAACTTCATAATAACCTTCAGGGCAATAAAAACTATCAGCAGCATCATTTTGAAAACAGACAAGAAATACACAGAAAGTACTGAAAATAACTAACAGGATCACTAAATGGTTGTGTTGACCATTTGCAACACAAATTGACCATTACTGAATTCTTCAGGAGATGGGAGATGGAAGTACCTGCAGTGGCACTTATGGCACTGTGGTACTAACTAATTCTGTTCTGTTGCCCTCTCCTTTTCCTATTTGCACAGTTCTTTCCCAGTTTCCCATTTCTCTGTCTCCTTTTTTCTTATCAATCCAGCCTGCCCATAACTTCAGTATCTATTTAACTATCAATAGCACTTAGGATCAAAGGAGCTACTGACTTTTGATCCACTAAACAAATCACATGGGTTTCTCTCTTAGTATTTCACATCTTTAAATCTCTAAAAGTAATACATGTATTCAGAAAAAAATCTGAAACTACTCCACATGAGTGATCTTTAGTAACCATGAAGAAACTGTCATTTGAAGTTTTCAACAAAAAATTACCTGAACTAAAAATCAAATATAATCAAAATTAAATTAACCCAAACAATACATGAAAACCACTTTCCACTACTTTCAAAGTTAGCTACAAACTCTTCTATGTATGATCATAACTTTCTGGCAGAGTAATTCTGAAATAATTATAACATTTAGATTAGCTACCACTACTGCCCTCCTCTCCCAATAATGGCACCAATATAAAACCTCTTTATTGAGAATTTCACACATAAGAAATCTTAACAGTTTAGGTATGTTATGGCCTGAAGACAAAACTCTGTATCAGGTGAACTTTTAGTCTATGATTTATTCATAGCATCTGATAAATTGAAAAAACAAGAAAATGTAAGGATCACTAACCTTAAGAAATGCCAACACAGCATTTACCACAAAAAAGAGTTACAAAAGGGGGTGAGATGGTGGTGGCAGAAAGCAGGGAACCAAAATCCCAGTGAGGGTTAGATTTGGATACTCTGAACTTTATAGTCTCACAGCTGCCAAATTTCTTCATGTGCGAACAATGAACATGTAGGAAATGTAATCATCAGACATTCCCCATAAACTGGGAAGTTTGGCTGCATTTCACACCTTCTTAATAGTTTTGTAAACAGAGAACTTGAAAATGAGCAAAGATGGCAAGTGTCTAATTTTATAAATGGACAAACTATCTAGAGAATTTTCCCCAGTAGAACCTGCCTAAAGAGAAAAGATAGTGAATAGGTATTGTATCTACTGATTATCAGAAGATACTTATTTACAACACATCATTAGGAAATGCATTTATGACTCATAAGCCCAAAAGAAGAAAAAGTAAAAGTTAATAACATGCCAAATCTAGAAATCCCTAGACAGAGAATATGCTCATTTTCAGAGTCAGATGTCACTCTATTATTTTCAGTTATAAAAGTATTTCCTAACTGGGAAATGGTTCTCCCACTATTCAATGTTTTACATAAATGGAAACATTGACAAAACATATTAAGAGTATGTTTTTCTGAATTACTTTCACAAATTGTGACACTATACTTTATTGACTTAAAAGCATTTAGATGAATGGAACAATTCACTAAGTTTGTACTACATACCCATTCAGTGTTAGTTGTTCTACGTACATGCCAACAACAGTACTTACTACAGTATTGGAAGGAGGCAAAAATTTTGGAATTTGGCTCAAAATACCAATCCATGTAAAGAACAGTTATTAGGGAATATTGTGGAGTATTGCAAACAACAAAGATGGTAGATAGACAATGAACGATGAAGGTCAAAAAGCACTTGAAGTATTGATCTTATTTGAAAAGTTAAATAGGTATAAAAAGCGCTAATTCAAATTTTAAAAATCTTTTACATCATTTACCCACTTTACCAATTAGTTTTTCCATTCCCAATAATTAAAAGAGAGAGTTCACAAACTCTTTGAGAAGTACAGATGGTAAAAAGTACTCCCAGCCATAGATGCCATCTGGGAAATGAGGAGCAGCTGTAGATTTAGGCATATACTAAGGTTGCAAACCCCCATGACAAAAGAGTAAGCATATCTCTTCGATTCTAAGATATTCCAAATCAAATGCCTAAATATTTTCTCTATCTACCCAAGTTACCTGTATCTCATCTACCATCTGAGCCAGACCAGTTTGTCTTCATTCACAGTTCTAATCTGGCTAGTCACCAGGAAAAATGTAAGAAATGGTTGCAGCAGAAACAAATGAAATTCAGGCACAGGCAGTGTCCTCACTAGGGAACTTCTGTGTTTATGGCAACTTCTGTGATTTGGCGTCAAATTTTGCTTTTGCATTCGTGCTCTTCGGTTTACTCAACCAACAAAAAAGCACTGAAAATGTTTGTGGCTATTCACACTAGAAACGTTTTTAACAGTTTATCAACAAAGACCCCCAGATGGCTATCCCATCATGCACGGTCTGCACAGTTCTAAGAAATCCTTGGAATTTGGTCTGTTATGTGATCATAATCCCCTCCAATGTACCCCCTATCTTACAGAGGCTTTTACTAAACCCATTAACCTCATTCTCTTTTTTCTGCTAATAGTCAAGTTTCTTATATGGACAATCTGTATCTCAAATTCCATCACTTTATTTACCTTTTTACAAACACTGATGGGATCTTTGGCACTTCACTAAAACTCTTAAGGATCTCCAGGAGGTCAATTCCAATGGACCTTTTTTTTTTTTCTTAACTTTCTGAACATACTTAGAGCTACTCCAACATCTGTTTTCTCTTCTATTCCCTTAGCCTTTGCTTTTGCCACCGTCACTTATTCCACATCATGCTTCTTTCACTATTCCTTTGGTTTCTTTTTCCCACATTAACATGTTAACTTTGTTCACACTAAAACATGCCATGATCCCATTTAAATATCCTTTTAATATCACCATTACAGCAATTTTTACATAAGACAGCACAAACTGCTAAAATGGCATATACTAATTTTTCACTATTAAGCAATCAACGCATAACTGCTAGTGGATTTCAAGACAATGTATTTTACTTCTTTCATGATTTTTAAAGTATTGACTATATAAACATCATGTGTTATGGGATTGAGAATAAGTTTAAAGAACTGGCTTTGATAAAACATACTTGGGAAAGCAAAATTAACAAACATTTAGCAATTAGAAAACTGAGAAGGTATAAGAGGCTTACATATGGAGACATTAAAACTAGCTTTTCTACTACCATCACTAATTAAACATCAATATAGGCATGATTTTTACAAATATTAATTTACTGAATCCTTAAAACATCTCAATAAAGAAGTTAATCTACACTTCATATGTTAATTCCAGCAAAATTTCTAACATAAAAGGAATTTTTCAAACTCTTCTTGATCTCAAGGAGCTCACATTTGGGCTTTACTTGCCCATAAATCTCAAATCATAATGCAGTGTGAAACATACAAAAAAGGAGTGTGCACAAAGCACGATAGGGACATAGGGGTTAAGTAAATGTACCTAACTTTTTCTTGTGCATCACCTGAGGAAAGAGAGGGAAAGTCAGGGTGAGAGCACAAAGAATGCATTAGGGAGTAACACATCATGTGATACTTAGTAGTAATAGGGAAAGGGAAAAACCATGAGAGAATGGCTGGATGTGGAAGAAGAGGAAGAGAGACAAGTCCAAAGTTTCAGACCTACATGATGCGTAGAAAAATGAGTGTCAGTTATAACCTAATTGGTAGAGGGAACTGTCATGAAAAAGTAGAAAGTAAGGTAGACAATACTGCTTACTCTTGAACAGCAGCATCTGAAATAATGAATATGTAAGTGGAAAGGTCTCAAACAGTGGAGATGATAATACATTTCAAATGAGAGGAAATGAAGAGATTTCAAAGTTGTTGGCATTGCTAAACTATGAAAACAGACTTTTAAAGAAAGGTATAAAAACAGAAGAGCAGAAAGGCAAGGGTTGAATCTTGGAAATGCTCATAGCAAAGGCAGCAAAGCTAGCTAGCAAAGGCAGCAGAGTGTGTAGTTGCCAAAAAGTCAGGAGAACCATGGGACTGTATGGCCATGGAAGTAAAAAGAAGAGACTTCAGAAGTTCAAAGGTATGATGTGAAGGCAAGAGGACAAGGAAAATAACTGAAAGAGATGCAAGACTCAGTGCACTAAGAAAATAAATCACTCATCTCTTTTAACAAGCTGGAAACAGCAAATTGTCATCAGCACTGTACTCTGTCATGAAAAGGTTATGACTCTGAGAACACTAGAGGCAGGCGGAAGGAAATGATCAATGATGTAGGAGGTTATATTTTATCCAGTTAGCCTTAAGGAAGGGAGAGGGGCAAAGGGTGCCATGATACAGAACAGCTGAAGATTAGAAAGAAAGGTGCCCCTCAGAGGACATTTCATTTCCTTAAATTTTAGTTTATATTATTTTAATATTAGTTAATAACAGTGCTTATGATTGGCCACTTAATAAAGTTACATTTTTGGTAGAAAAATACAAGTATAGCATAATTTCATTCATTTAACAAATACTTATTGAGCATCTACCATTTATCTGGCAGTATACTAAAGATAAAATGAGACAATATCTGAATTCACAGAGCTTATAGACTAGCTGTAAAAACCAGGAAATTAAAAAGTAGTAATTAGGCTGGGCATAGTGGCTCACAACTGTAATAATCTCAGCTACCCAGGAGGCTGAGGGGGGAGCATCACTTAAGGCCAAGAGGTTGAGACCACCTTGGGAAACACATCAGGACTTTGTATCTTTAAAAAAAAAAAAAAAAAAGCCAGGCATAGTGGTGAGTGCTTGGAGTCCTAGCTACTCAGGAGGCTGAGGAAAGAGGACTGCTTGAACTCAGGAGGTCAAG